AGTCCATTCACAAATCCTGCGGCCGTACTGAGCGCTGTCGAGCTCTGGCTTTGTTTGTGTTCTTAGCTGGTGGGAAACAGAGTGCGGATGATGTCATGAGAAAGAGTTTGTGCCGTTAACGGCGTCCATTAGGACGGGACCATCGCTCACAGACAGACGCTCCTCAATCACAGCGGCACACATCCACTTCACATCTACGATTAAAGACAGAACATAGATATCTGAAGACTGAACAGACTGTAAACGCAGATGTGTGTGGCATTCATATATATAACCATAGAGTTTATATAGCTATAACGATAACTCTTATCATCCACACCAATGGTGACGTTTGTTTATTGACGCTTTTACAACTTTGATCTGATCGGTTCAATAGCAAATTGTTCATGACTCTGATTCTGAATATGTGCTGACAGTCTTGGAAGTTTGGTAATTTTTCAGGACTAAATGCCTGTTCACACCAAGAACAATTACTAGATTCACAACTTTTTGTAATATTGTTATTCATATTGTTTTAAAAATCGATCTGAATTTAAAATAATAGTGAATTCCACACCACAACTATATCAATAACGACACACAGGAACGTTATCGTCAGAATCACTTTCAACAATGAATTAACAATAAAAACATTGAATCATTACAGTTTTTTTACAATCTCTAGAACACATTTCTCAATACTAAAGTCACTTTTAAAAACTCTTCACACAGTTCTGCTAACCATCTTTCAACTCGACACAGCAGTTCATCTCACATTCAAAATGCACTAAAACTACCTCAAACTATGTCTCAAATCAACTCATTCTTCCATAACACTAGCAAACATACACACTTTATCACTCATAACACAACCACCTAAAAAGCACTAACAACAGGTAGCATTATACAGTGTTTGCTTTTGTACTGTGCTAGGTTTTGAAAACAGTATGTTAAGGTGCAAATTGGCTTGTGTAGTACATAAAGCCTTGGTGGCGTTTGTGCTGAAGTGATAAAAGAATTCATGTAATCTGACAGATGTCGTCAATTAATGCATTTTGTGCCAAAGCAAAGCAGTTTAGCCCACAGAGACTGATGTTGTGCTCGCTGTCTGAAGAGTTCTGAAGAATTGACCTAAGTATTGAGAAATATGTCCCAGCGATCGTAAAACACTGTAAAGCGACAGACGACAGCAGCACACGCTTACAACAAACAGAACGATATCATGCATTGGTGTGGACGCTAATATGGTTATCGTTATTGTTTTCGGTGTGAACGGGCCTTAAGACTAATATTATTTAAGCCCTGTCACAGATTTTCAGCTGATTTGAGTGTTTGGGAAACCTGTTTGGACTCAATCATCGTTATTATTTCTGTGATTGTGTTCGGTGCAGAAATCACACACTCTTCAGCTCTGTGGAGTGTTTTCAGCGCATCCATCGTAACGTAACGGGTGATTTCCATCACAAAGCTGAATTATTGACTTTCAGAGGGCCGCAGCGCTTTGATATGGACGCTCTCTGGTTCCCGCGCGTGTGAATGTGGCCAGTGACCCACAGAACGGACACAACGCATTCGTTCAGGCCCGGCTCTTTCATTCAGCGCCTCCTCCTCCTCCGCGCCGTAATTTAAGGGGCTGAAAGGCTCTTTTGCGCCGCTGAAGATGCTTTGGCCGCGGCAGATGGAGGGAGTTTGGGAGGCTAGCGGGGTGGCGATAGGCTAATTTGAGCAGCACAAAGCCGGCGCGCTTTCAAATGCAGAGCAGGAGGCTTTGATGAGCGCGGGATGAAAGCGCAGGGAGCCCAGCGGCCGACGGGGACCCTTTGTCCCAGACAAGAAGGCATCTGCTGGGCTTTGCCCTCCTCTCTGGGACGAGCCCCTCAAACAATGACAGACGGGGCCAGAGAATGTTACCGGTGCTGATGAAAAGAGTTTGAGTGTGTGTGTGTGTGTGTGTGTGTGTGCGTGTGCGTAAAACTCTTAAACTCATCTGCAGCATTTGGCTATGAGCTCACAGGTGGAGGAAACATGATTGATTCTCCTGTTGGAAGCAAATACACTTGTTTGTTTGGAAGAGGAACTATTGTGAGTGATCAGTCTAAACCAGGGGTGTCAAACTCAGATCCTGGGCCATAGCCCTGCAGAGTTTAGTTCCAACCCTGCCCCAACACACATACCGTGTAGTTTTCAAATAAACCTAAATGACTTGATTAGCTGGGTCAGGTGTGTTTAATTAGGGTTGAATCTAAACTGTGCAGGGCTGGGGCCCTCCAGGAACTGAGTTTGACACCCCTGGTCTAAACAGTGTGTGGTGTGTGTGTGTGTGTGTGTGTGTGTGTGTGTGAGAGTGCGTGTGTGTGTGTGTGAGAGT